AACATGTAGAGACTTTATTTTGAAAGTGAGGTAGGGTGAAGTGATACTATGAAACTGTCCAAATCACTAATTTCTAACTGCTGTGCTGTGTCCTCTAAGAAAACACAACAATGTGCTACCATCCCATTTTCTTTTTGGGAAGACTGTTGTGTGAATGTTCACCCAGGACGTTTTTAATGCCACAGGGAAGACCATGCCTACATTGAGAAGCGCTGGAAAGATGTCCAAGTGGGGGACTTTGTGCAGCTGCGGTGCAACGAGACCATCCCAGCTGACATCCTCTTGCTCTACTCCTCCGACCAGAATGGGATTTGTCACTTGGAAACTGCCAACCTTGATGGGGAGACCAACCTCAAACAACGACGAGTTGTAACAGGCTTCTCCGGCCAGGTAGGTCTGCTGACGGTGCAGCTCACAGACATGAAGCTTGGTCTGAGTCCCCTTCTGTGCCTGCTCCTGGGTGAAAGGCAGCCTGTACGGCTTCTGACCGGCTGCTCGCTCCGACACAGCTACAGAAATGCATTGTGCTGTTGACTCTAATACCCTGTACCCAAAGCAGCAGTCTGTCCCAAAAGATTTTTGTTACGCTGTGACAGGCATGGCCCTGAAAAGGGGAATCTCAGACAGTAGTAGCGTGCCTTCCGGTGTTGATGAGTGCTGAAAGCACAGCACAGCATACCCCTGTCTGAGGCTGACCCAACCCTTCCCACTGCACAGGCTGTCCGTCACAGCATGCGGCGCAGCCAACAGCAAGGCCACCAGAAATGAGCAAATTATTTCTGCGTGGAAATTAGCATACAGTTCATGGCACCTCTTTCAAAAAGGCTGTGCGCTGCTTTATAGGTTTCACTTCTCTATTGCATCTGACACAACTGCTCCCGTGATAGGCAGATACATCTATGAAAATTTGACCAAGAACTGTTCTAAGGCACAGTAACTTGAAATAATGAAAACCTTTTCTAGGAGCATAATGAGTAATTAAATAGGAAATTAGGATAAATTAAAACAGGAAAAGTTAACTAACATTGAAGGTGTGATCTGTTTGGCATATGTTTGGGTGTTGGCAGAGATTAGATTTGAATGCTTAAAATCTACATTTTTTTTCCATAGGCCGCATAATTTCTTTTTTGCAAGCAATTAACTGGAACATTCTCTTGAATCATCTTTGCTAAATCTGAAGTTATCAAGAAAATATGACTTAGAAAATGTTGCATTCTTTACATTTTCAAGTATCTTTTCAACCACACCAGGGCAGTTTTTCAAAAAACACAGAATAGTTTGTTCCATTGGAATTGATGCAGCAGACAGGAAATATAAAGACCCTGCAGATAATTCTAGGGATTACATGCATTTATTTAGCCATTACTAAGTGCCATTAGACCAATCTTTTGGTTTTGTTCGAGGTGGGGAGAGAACGGGTGTCAGCAAAGTAGCAACCAGATTCCTTAAATAAAAATAGGCTATTTCCATGGCAAATTGAGGTCAGGTGCTATTTAATCCAGTGTTATTTACTCTTTCTTCAAATGGAAATGACCTTGCAGGGATACTTAAGGGCTTTCCCAGGTTGTGGATGGTGTACTGTAAAGCACACCTTTTCCAGTGCTTTCTAACTATGATTATGGAGACTTCTTTTCCTGAGAAAACCCAGGAGATTTATTATGAAGAAATTTAGCAAAAACCATTAAATTGCCTACTTAAATAGAGAAAATAAAAACTGCTGCATTTATGTAATGTGGCCATACTTCACATGTTAGGTTTTGCATTATTCCCTTTCTTTTTTCAAGTGCTCTAATATTATGCAAAATGTAAACTTTTGCCTCAGTAGATTTATAACATTAGGAAGTCTTCCTTTAAGTCAGAAGCTACTGTATGCTGAATTACACTTTGGACTCCCTATTAATGGTTATTAGCTTTAGTCTTTGAGTCATTATGTAGCTTAACTCTATGCCCAGAAGTGCTTATACTTATTACAACTCATGTTTCATAAGCCCAGTGGAATGCAATCCCAGCTGTGGTGATACCCAATATTCAGGAAGGTCAGAGCTTAAATAGTCAACTGTATCACCCTGTTATTTCAAAGTATTAGTGTAAACAGCATATTGACTGAAAAAAACCAATCACTATGTGCTAAATATCATATGTACAAATTTTAGTGTTCTTATCTGCAACTTCTTCCTTATTCTTTGTTCTTTGTGTAGTCCAGTGATTTATGTGCTGTGTAAAACTTAATCAGACTTAATAGTATCTATAAAAATGTGAATCTTTAAGGAAGGAGGAAATATATATGAATGAGTTTATTTCAGGATATGCTTAGGAATATTGCAGTTCTCCTAACTGGGAAAGGCTGAGAGGAAGGACATTTTTTTCCCCTTTTATACTATTTTCTGGCCTGAATTTTCAAATATAAAATTCTTATAATCAAAAGAAAAACATTTTGTGAGAGAAGAATCATCTTTCTCCACCTCCTTTCTAGCCTGGAACCTATTACATTGCTCCATGAATAGTAAGCCACCCTTCAGTTTCCTTTAATGTATTACTGTTTTCCTATTGTACAAATATTTCCAGCACAACCAAATATGCACTCATTTTCCTGTTGAGTTTACTGAACTGAACACAATTCAACAGAGGTTAACAATATTTCTTAAAAGAGATTCTTAAAATATTTAACATAGAAGGAGTAGAAGGTAGAGTAAAAAGCATTTATATGCGTCAAGCTTTTATTTTTCCTCCAACATTCATTTTTAGATCAGACTCTCTACTCTCTTGTAGTAGATTCAATATATATAAACTTAAATATATATATTGCATGGGAAAAAACCAGGAGAGAAAAAGTAGTGCAAGAATTAGAGCATACTAAAGGAAAAATTGATATTTGGGAACTGGGAAGGTGAGGAGTTTCTCTTGCAGTCTGATAGAATTTTTATAAATTCTAATGAAGGATTCTTAAGATTTCCGTTTTCTGAAGGAGTCCAATCTCTGAAAGTCTCTTTTGCTTCAAGGATAAGATAAGGAGCCCCAGAAGCAGACCTGATTTCCAGCTCTGAACTTTCCTGATGGGAGGAGTTTAGATTCAAGCGGATTTCAGTTCCTTAAGCATTTTATTACAAAGCAATACTGATTATCTCTTTCATGTTTCTCACATCCCATTTTTATTACCATTGCTTAAGCTAAATTCAAGGTCTTACGTGTCCTTCCAGTTTTGGGGGGGG